GGGGGGGGGGGGTTGCATGGATTGTTCTACTGTGTTTTGTGATCTCAGTTTGAATTGCATGAGTACCAGTTCTTCACCCAAGGCTGGCAGTCTCAAAACAGCCAGTAGTATTTTGCCTATGCTATATAAAAGTTTCTGTCTACTTCATCTGCATCTCCCCCATGGTCAGCTATCTCCTACTTTATTCTCCCTGTTGTTACAGACAGCACATCATAATGCACAATAGACTGAACACACCTGCTGAAGTACATTAGTATGTGGTACTAATGCAAGCACAGAAGTGTCTGATGGGGGTTGATAATTAGAGGTGCCAGTACTTCATAGAACTGTATGTAGATGTAAATCATGTCAAGCAGATCAGGGTTTACAGTGAGGAAAATGGCTTTTGTTGTTTAAGTCCTGAAATACAAACAATGGAAATGAACAGTAACAAAGCAACCTACAGTGCTTCAAAATTTAGGCTGGGTGCAGGTGCAAATTTCAGGATACTAGAGGAAAACGTGCCAAGATTGTACAATACATCTCAGGGGTTGTAACTCTGAGCCTTTATGTTGTGCAGTCTTGCAGGACTACTTCCTTTAATCAGGACATTAATCTATTTATTTTGAAGCAGTACTCAGTTGAGTTGTGTGAATTTTCAGTTAGTGAACTAGAACATCTCTGAAAATGAGATTTGTTAAATCTTTCTTCCTCCTTTGTATGATTATATTAGTTTTCATTTCGAAATTAATATGATGGGATGCCGCTTTTTTGTCTGGATATCTGTTTTAAAGGACATTTTCCAATAATTTGATTGTTAAGTTTCTTTAAGAGAGAGAGGCCTAAGATAAAAAGTTCAGAGTGGGGAAGGAGGGATCCCCAGGTGGGAGTCTAAGTATTGAGTCATCAAATTTGCTCTTGTACTTTAGTTGTGAACTCTTTTTATTGAACTCTGTGGCTGCATCCCGATGAGCATGGGCTTGCGGTCTGTGGTGCCATAGGCCCCTCTGCAGCGCCACACACCGCACATGCAGGCATTCCCCATGTTGCTACCTTGCAAAAAACCCAAACAAACAAACAAAACCCCCACTTTTTCTGATCCTGGGATCTCCTGGGGTCAAAAAACCCCAAAATCATGCCAAAAATGGGGTGGTGGCAGCATGCACTGTCCAAAACAGGAGTATGGCCAGCTGGAGGCACAATTCAGCTACCAGCCATGCTCCCAGCTTCAGGAGCCACAGCTGCAGCTCCCCAAGGACCCCAGGTAAGGTGGCTGGGGGCAGCACAGCTGCTGGTCCCAGACTCCTCTACCCCACCCGGGGTAACCTGCTGCATGCCAGAGCACGCATGGCACAGGCATTCCTTGGGGACAAGTAGCAGTGTACAAGGTATGCCACTTCTGTTTGTCCCCAGGGAAATAAATGTCCACGCTCATCTGGATGTGGCTCATAGGTCCATTGTATGTGACAAAAAACTGTCTTCTACCTGAATTTATCTCTAAGTCTTTGCATCATACTTTGTGGGAAGCTATAATCTTGATTTTGTTCTTTTTTCCCAGCTTCTGAGACTTGTTGCAACTTCACAGAATGCACACGCATCATGAGGGAAATTCTATCTTTGTACTTCCTGGCAGAAAAAAGCCATTGGAGATGGCCATTTTGGGGATGACTGTGTGGCTAGGGATTAAAATTGCACACAAACCAGTATAAGTGATTGGAAACCAGTTCAGATCTGTAACACA